TACGTTTCGACTACTGTTTCCAGCGACAGAATGGCTCCTTTCGACGGTATTCATTACGAAATATACATACACCAGGGTATTCGACTAGAAATATCGAAAACTTCAATCTTTGGTAGTTGAGACAACCGGGACACCTCTGACCCATAGTTAAGTTTTCCTCGCGCGCATCGTGAAACTAATTTTCACTCGAAAATATTACTCATTTTCTCCTCGTCTGTTTACAGAAATGATGATGCGTGATAATTTAAAAAATTTTTAATACTAAGATTGAAAAATTAGAACAGAAAGCTCTTTCAACTGTCCACTAGTAATAGAATGAATTAAGCCAGTCAAGTTTTGCGGTTGACCCTGTACATCCAAAGCAGAAAGGATTTCGACTTTTCCCGGGCGTGTGCTGCATAAAGCTGTCCAGCGATCCCATCGTTGGAAACGCTCTCAGAAATAAATTTTACACGTAATATCGTTGCAGAATATACGCAACAGTGTTATCGAATTTTTATTTCGCGAGCACGTGTCAGGGTCACTTTCGTGGAATCCATTGCGCACGTGTACGTCGAAGCGGGAGCGTCTTCGTGCTCGAAATAATTTTTCTCGAAAACTGCTCCACCTTCGATCAAATTTTCCCTTCGTTTCCCCCATAGAAATTTTACAAAAGTTTCCAGAGGTTCCTTTTCCTTTTTGCTGGCTATACGAGTGCAACCCTTAGATCGAAACAACCCACGAACGCAACCCGCGCGTAACATGGATTTCTTTTCTGTTGTTGCAACACTTCCACGTAGCCTGATTATCGCACTATACTCGTGGTTGAATTATTCGTCTTCCAGACTGTCCAGAAATAACGCCTCTTGTCTCGTACTACTTGTCTGTTGCTTGTGTTCCGCTGCTACTGCGACTGTTGCAAAACACCTCTCTATCGATGAATATATAGGGTCGATGCATAATTATCCGGCGTTTTCTCAACAAATTTTATTTAACAAAATTAATAACAATATTTGACGAAAACTTGTTTAAACGATTATTCGGGAGCGTAGTCACCGTCTACTTCAATTACTTCTTCCCATTTGCTTGGCAGACCGTCGATTCCACGAGCGACGAAGACACGATTCTTAGAGACGATCCACGCTTTTACATCGGCCACCAAGTCATCCAAATCGTCGTAAATCTTATTCATTTGCCAGTTTTTCAAAGAGCGGTCGACGTGATAGTCCGTAGGCGCTTCGGTAAGTGGTATCACCTGATTTGAAACGGGCAAACCACTCCCTACACTGACTTTCGCTGATTGTTCCTTCGCCAAAAAGTTCGTTGAGATCGCGAAACGACTGCGCTGCTTTCCATCCTTTCTCGAAGTGGTAGAGCATAATATGGCGAATATGAACATGGTTTTCGACACGCATTTTTCTAAAACAATACAGAAGATTATTTTCATACAAAAATAATAAACAAAACGCTACTTTTCACTGATGAAAAACGAGCCGCTATAAACGCCGGATAATTATGCATCAACCTCATAGTTACAGGAATCGTAAACGTAGCGATTTATTCTACGACGAGTCGTGCATGAAATTGCAATAACAATCGTACATTATGATATTCAAAATAAATATAGCGTGCAATTATCTTGCTAAAAAAATAAGGAGCTATCCCACCGCGAGAGAGATCTGTCAATTGCAAAGTGCACTTATCCTGTCGATAGTCCCGGATACCCATCGATTTAATCGGCCGGCCCGAGTCACGAAACGCACCGGGCGGTCCAAGCTCGCCGCAGATCGGTCCGCTCCTTGATATATTCGGGGGATGTCCCGCGATAATCGCCGTTACACGCGAGAATCCGTAAATTTCCAGGCAGAGCAGATGGCGCAGCCTTTCGCGGAAGCGATCGCCTTCGCTTCTCGAGGGCAGCACCGACATTTTGCGTTTCTGCATATCTCAGGGGCGTACGTACCCCGCGGGCACCGTGCCTGCTTTCTCCCCACCCACCGCAATCCCCCCTCCTCCACCGTTCACGTCTCGTTTCGTCCCCCTTTTCTCATTTCCCGTAATCCTTTATCTATCTTTATCTCTTCCTCTCTTCCTCTCCGTCAGTTTCGGTTTCAGGCTCCTCGACGTTTTCTTCCGCCCGCTTCCCCGCCGTTTCGTTCCAGCCACTCGATTCCACGTAGCGAACGTCTTCACGGATTCGCCTTTGTTTCGCCACTGATCCTTTGTGAATTTCGTTAGTCAGCTGCACGAAATCGAGCCTCGCGGCCCCGTTTACTTTTTCTAGGATGGCCCGGCTCTATTTTTAGCCTCTGTCCGCCGAAAAACCAAGGCGGTTCCGCGCACAGATGCACGTGCTGCCTTTTCTTTTTACTTTACACGACGCATCTTTCTTAACTTCGTCGTGTTTCGAAGATGTTCGCTAGTAGTGGTCCGGTACCCAGGTGCCATCATCGACTTCCCCTACCACGACTTGCCGTATTTGAAAACGATACATGATTTTTGTGGTCCAAGACCTAGAATTAGCATTCCTCTCGACCTTTCCAACGTTATGAAACGAAATGCTCGACGCTGTCGGTGGTTCCAGTAAACTCTTACATCGATAATAATAAGATCGGTTCGAACGATTTCGTTAGGAAGGAACGCGAGCAACGGGATCTTTTAAGACATCCCTCGTGGGATTCTCGGAGAAACGGGAAGAATTGGGATCAGTCACGGTCGAGCCGCGTTAACGTTAGTTTCTTAGAGTTAATGATCGGTTCCGCGCGGTCTGAGGGAAATAATAACGTTTGTAAATGGCGCCTTAGACGCGACTCCGATCGTGACCGATGGGACTTCGCAACGTTCACGATGGCCTTACACGTGCCAGCGATCTGGATGCCATTGGCCTGTGCCGTGAACTTCACTCGCGTTCGAAGGGACTGCTGGAGAATCTCGAATACAAACGCCAAAACGAGAAGGTCGATTGCGTAACGTGCACCCTCGGTTCTTCTCGTAGTCGAAGAACCTTGTTTATCTCTTTGATCGATACACGCGAAGGTAGAGTCTGTATTCCACGAAAATATCGTGAAATCTTCGCTATTGTTTGGCAGTTGAAGTTTACGCGGAAATAAATTCGGTATAATGAATCCTTCGAAGTGTTTTCGATGTAAATGCTTTTATGTAGGTGTGCGAGGTATCGGTTTAAAACTCGTCGTTTCTATGATAACGTGTTCTTATTTCGAATTCCGAGATTTCTAACTCGATCGAAGCATCTAAACCTGTATCTCAACGGCGTAGAAGTTTTCCACGTTGAAATAGAGAACTTTGTCTTACCCTCGAATATACTTGAACTCTTCTTTCGTCGCGCGTTTAAAAGATGTGGGAAGTAGAGAAGGAACGACAGAGTAAGGCGAGATTTATGAAGTTTCGGATGACAGTGTTTTCGGATGAGGAGGATGTTTATGCTAGGCCAATGGTTCTTCTTTTTTTACGGACACCCTCTTGGCACTCGGGCGAACCTCACGAACTCCTTTCTTAAGCTCTTTTAGGAGACTAATTAAATGAATGTTGTTTAAACCAGTAATTCGGAGAACTTTTGAGTTTATATTAATATTATGATACGAGGTTTCAAGTGAGATTTCTGTTAACATTTTTAAACAAACAATGAACCCACAATCACACGCGTGGAAATAAATATTTGTTACCACACCGGGGATCCATTTCTGACCACGCATTATATTTTCGGTAAAGAATTTTTTTCTTGAAAGTGAGTAGGATTTCGTGGGTATGTCTATTCACCAAAAATGATTGTAATTAACTCCATTAGTTAAAAATAATTTTTTTAGAACGATTAGAAACTTTTCAATTTCGTCGAAAAATTTGTCCACCTACTCGATTTTTTTCTCGAAACTGCGTAGGAATTCAAGGGCATGTCTATTCAACAAAAATGATTGCAATTAACCCCTTTAGATAAAAATAATTTTTTTAGAAGGATTAGAAACTTTTCAATTTCGCCGAAAAATTTGTCCAACTACTCGATTTTTTTCTCGAAACTGCGTAGGAATTCGAGGGTATGTCTATTCACCAAAAATGATTGCAATTACCCCCTTTAGATAAAAATAATTTTTTTAGAAGGATTAGAAACTTTTCAATTTCGCCGAAAAATTTGTCCACTTAGTGAATTTTTTTCTCGAAAACGCGTAGGATTTCGGGGGTACATCACTTCACAAAAAATGATTGTAACTGACCCCTGCAGCCAAAAATAATTTTTCCAGAATGATTTCACAGTTTTCAATTTCGCCGGAAAAATTTGTTCACTTTGTGAATTTTTTTCTCGAAAGTGAGTAGGATTTCGTGGGTATATCTCTTCACCAAAAATGATTGTAATTGACCCCTGTAACCAAAAATAATTTTTCCAGAATGATTTCACAGTTTTCAATTTCGCCGAAAAATTTGTTCACTTTGTGAATTTTTTTCTCGAAAGTGCGTAGGATTTCGGGGGTATATCTTTTCACCAAAAATGATTGTAATTGACCCCCGCAACCAAATATAATTTTTCCAGAATGATTTGAAAGTTTTCAATTTCGCCGAAAAATTTGTCCACCTAGTGAATTTTTTTCTCGAAAGTGAGTAGGATTTCGTGGGTATATCTCTTCACCAAAAATGGTTGTAAATGACCCCCGCAACCAAAAATAATTTTTCCAGAATGATTTGAAAGTTTTCAATTTCGCCGAAAAATTTGTCCACTTAGTGAATTTTTTTCTCGAAAGTGGGTAGGATTTCGTGGGTACATCTATTCACCAAAAATGATTGTAAATGACCCCCGCAACCAAAAATAATTTTTCCAGAATGATTTGAAATTTTTTAATTTCGTTATATGTACGACATGAATATTATATCCATAAATACAAAAATTCGGTTGGTCGATTAAATATATTTTATAAATAATTGAAAAGCACGTACTGTATCGAATAAAATTGCTACAAATAAAGCGTGATCCGTAATTGTACAAATCTAACGAACGTCCTTATTTTCCTTTTCAGGGAAGAAACTAAAGTGTCCATTCTGCGAAAGATTATACGGCTACGAGACGAACCTGCGCGCTCACATACGGCAACGTCACCAGGGCATCAGGGTGCCCTGTCCATTTTGTTCGCGGACGTTCACGCGGAACAACACCGTCAGACGCCATATAGCGCGGGAGCACAAAGCCGAGCTGAACCTGAAGGCCTTCCAACAGTCGAACCACTCGGTGTCGGACACGGTGCCACAGTAAAACGACGACCGGCGTCGTCGGCTGTCGTCGTCGTGGTCGTCGAACTCGCCAACGAGTGGAACGGAAACGAACGCGAGTGGACTTCGAGCATAGAACGAGGAAACAGGCGGGTCAAAGGTGTCGCCAGAGTCCACCTTTTCCCTTCATCGTCGGTCAACGGCGTTCCCCCCATCCTCTCTGGATCTGCGGTTGACAAGCCCGGAGGCTCTTTAACCGTGGCCCCTCGCGAGCTTTGGCTCCGTACGAGAGGATAGCAAAGGGTCAACGCGACGATCCGCTCGTAATAGTTGTCAATTACGCTGTCAACGTCCAGGCGGTCGAGCTCGAGGAAGCGTCTCGAGACGCGATCGCTAATGGATCCGTTTGGTTCGCGGTTGGTCCTCGATGTCTCGGGAGATCGTCGAACGGGATCGAAAGGGGCAAAGGGGGGTGGGGGTGGGGGGGGGGGGAGGGGACTTTTCAGAGACTCTCGTTGAAATTCGTCGTCTCCCGGACTCCTCTCCGCGAACCGAGCGCAAAATGGACGGTCGTCGCGGACTCGAGGCGGAAGGCGTTGAACGCGAAATAGGAAAATTGTACCCGGTGATCGGATCGCGATGGAAGGAGGACAGGAAGAGAACGGTTGAGGAAGACACGGAAACGAAGCTCGGGAAAAAACGTCGACGTCCGATCGCTCTGAGCCGTAGCCTTGCAAACGAGGCACGAGGACGGGAATTAAAAGGGGGTGTATCGCGCGTATCGGACACGCTCGCGGGGATACGCTGCAAATCACAAAACTAGTCAATGAAAGTGCAACGTCAAGTAAGAATTATTAACTCTAAACGTTTAAATGAGCGCGACGAAGAGGCAAATAGAAAAGAGTCGAGGAAAGCGGACACCGGATACGAACCGAACAGAGTTTAACGTTCGAACTTTTCGCATTTTTGTTTACGCGCGAGGTAAATACGCGTTTCTATCCGTATATTCGTGATGGACGACGATGGACGAGCGAACAGGAGACGTTGATGGAAGAGTTGTACTACTGCCGCTACCTTAATTCTATTATTCGATAGTTGAACGTTATCATTGGTTAAGAATTATCAACTGCATCGTCGCGTGAGAAAAAAAAAAAACTCTGTTACTACTGATAACATTACCACGGTACGACTGGTACTATTAATCGCTGTTGAGGTCGAGACACGGGTGATATACAATATCGTCTAACTTTTTACGTTTACGTTCGCGCGTTAGTGCCAAAAGAAAGAAAGAAAAATAATAAAATCGGGTTACCTTTTCCTTAACTCTGAATCGGGATCGCGTGTTCGGGTTGTTCGTTCTTCTCGACCGGGACACGCGTAGAAACAAATTGCTGGACTTTATCGGTGGAAACATATCCAGAATAGAGCGACGCGTTTTCTTCGTCTCTTTATAGCTTTTTTTTTTTCTTTTTTTTTTCGATTTTCCTTTTGTACAGATATACCGTTTTATAAAAGGATTTATGAGATTATTACGATGACTCTGAGACGAGCAGGCTATCGAGTTACCATGTGTACGCCACGTGGGCAGATTCTTCCCGGCGAAAACGCGACGAGCCGCGTCTTTTATAATGAGCGACGTCTTTTTACGAGCCCCCCCGACCGTTGTTCGAACGACGCCAGCTCGAACAGGTGGCCAGTTGGTAACGCGCGGTATTTTTTTAACGCGTTCCCGTTCGCCCGGAAGAATCGCAACGTGTCGTTACGTCACGAGAACAATCACTACCACTTTGTTACCTGTTTACAATGTTTAATACGGACTTTTGTCCGAAGCAATAGTCGCGAATCGAGATATAGGGGATATGGACAACCAATAGACCAATACGAACAGAGCGCATAGAATTAATCGCTAGACCGGTTGTGTAGTATGTGATCAATGCAATAGTTATATTACAGTACCTATAGATAGATATATACATAGATACTCCTAGTCAGGATGGCACCACGATATTACTTGTTGCAGTATTGACGCGTTTATTGACAGACTTTTATCTCTATTTTCTTCTACCCGACGTTTCTTATATTTTCTTTCCTACATTCTTGTTCTTTCGTTTCTTTCGTTACCAACCTTCTTCTTTTTTTTTTATTCTTTCCTGTCACGGTACAGAATGATGTTCAACAAGAATTATATATCTCACAACGATACGCCTACCGCGAAAGGTATCAAAGACAATAGACGAATAGAGAATTATTTAGTATTTAAAAGATCATACGCGAGTTAGGATATATATTATTATATACAAGAGAGACGTTCAGACGCCGTCGACCGCGAGGTATCGCATATTGTCCGTTCTGCTTGTTTTCCGCCACGATTTTTTTTTTTTTATTATTATTATTATTATTATTATTATTTCTGTTTATTTTCTTTTTTTTGCTGTTTGTTCTTGTTTGATGATCGTTTATCCACTTAAAATACGTTTAGAAACGTGTTCCGTTAACAAGGATGATACGTAATGACAGTACTACCTCATCGTTTTATAATAACGCATTGATAAAACACAGGGAACACTGAGCGACCACAGTAATATACCTGTACATTCCGTACAGCCGCTTGCTACTTGTCGGGATACTATTCTTCTGCTGTTATACCCTGCGAAGAGGGTACGAGCGCGGATCTCGAGGCTTCTCGCCGCGAATTCCTCCCATATCGTCGGAGTTTCGTGGAATCGATCAATAATCAACCGATACAGAGGCTCGAGCTACCATTTGATTTCGTGAAAATGTTCCGGAAAATCATCAGTTCACAGAACGTACACTTTTTGCTCGCACCAGAGGAACTTCCAGACAGCGAAAAGTCTTCGAGATCGTCGACACACGTGATATATAAACTCTACATATTATATATATACATACATACATATATATATATACATATAATAGAAACCGTTTTTTTTACAAAGCCGCATTATTGCATACGTACAACTTATATGAAACCGACGACTAGAAAACAGTGAGCCACGCGAGTGGATGCATGTGTCTGTCTGTGTGTATGTGCGAGCGTATGTGTTTTTGCAGACTGCGTGCGATTTCTAACTCGAGGCGCGTTTATTCCGTGAAACGACCATCGGGATTTCGTCGTTCAGCAGCGAGATATTTCGGCGTTCGATTCCTAAAGCGGTTCCGGGTCGTATGCGAGCAGGGAGAAATTGAAACGAAACGTCGAACACGATCGCGAGACCGTTCCCTTTCGAGGCGTGGGATCACCTCGTCGACGAGTTTCGCGAAACCGCGTTTTCCGATCGTTTCTCGGCTAATTTTGACTTTCGGCTGGATAAAAAGAGATAAAGAGCGACGCGCGAGGGGGGGTTGATTTTGAAGGCTAGCGAATGGAAATAGCGACAAGGATGGGTGAAAAAGGAGATGTCCCGGTGAAAATTGCGTCCGAACGACGCAGGGATTACTTTTATTCGACGTAAATTAATGATCGGAGAGAAGAGGTTTCAAAACGATGACGCTGTGGGAAAGGGATTATTCAAAAGTGTTATGTGTCGTTTACGTATGTGATGATAGGAACATACACACGCGCGCGCGCGCACTTACCACACAAACACACGCAAAACCTACGACGGGATACGTCGCACACGATCGAGCGCGGGACACGTTCACGAGTGTAAAATTGTAGCTAATATCGCGAGAATCGTTTTTTCTTTTTTATTCAATTTTTGTTCTTTCGTTTTTGTTTTTACGATCAAGCTGTCCGTTTCTCGACCACTCTGCCGAGCAGAGAAGGAGACGGACGAAAGGAGCTCGTACTAAGGAAATCTTTAGGTCGTACAATGAATTCTTTCTCTTTTAGCGTTAAGTTTTATCGTCGCGTTGGTAAATGGTTTCCTCTTCGTTTCGACTATTTTCTTTACTATTCTTTTCCTTTTTTTTTTTCTTCGTTTTAAGTAGTTTCGAGGTGGCATTCGACACGCGACGGAACCGCCGAAGATCGTTAGGTTAACACGTCGTTCTTTCGACGCGGGTATTTAGGGTACTGGAAAAGTCGGGTTTTTTTTTTAGTTTCGATGTATATATGTGTAAGTACAAACACGCGGAGTCGAACGGTGAACGACGAGCAATCGATCGGGTGCGAAAGGGCGCGGGAACACGATAAATTCAGATTCGTAACAACGTAAAACTAGTTTTGTAACACGTGCTCGTCCTTCTTTTGCTTTTTACACGTTTTCGACGATCGCGTGTTACACCGATTCGCTCGTTATTCCCTTTGTTTCGACGTTGGCGACTCGAGAACGCCTTTTGGGGTCGTTCGTTCCTCGAAAAGAATCTTCGATCGAAGGAGCAACACCACCCATACGCGGACTTAAACCCGCTTTCGTTTCAACGCTGAAATTTCCGTTATTTTCCCATCGAAAAATCCTCCAGAAAACATTTGCTTCGATTATCAAACAGCGAAATCTTTAAACTTTCTTCATCGATTCGAAGACGTTCTCTTTCTATCATTAAATTGATCGAGAAAAAAAATAGATTTCTCCACGATTGAAACGGAAATCGAGGGTCGAAGCAACGCCAAAGGGTGGTTTCTCTTGTAATTGTCGACGTTTCGAAATTTCGCGGTTCCCCCGATCGTATCCCGGTTCGAACACAATTTCGTTCGCGTGCACGCGAATCGAGACCACACATCACAGATACACGGAAACACGTACAGGGGCGCGGTATATGCGTACGCGATTGCGTGCATATATCCACGTTACGAAGCCACGCGCGACCGTACGCATACGTATGTACCATTATTGTATCACGGCGTAGGATAAAATGTTGCATGTTGTTTCTATAATATGTGTTTTACGGATTGAAAATCCTTTATAGATGTCGTGTGTGACACAGCTTGGGCGAGGCGAGCTTTACACCGCGGGTTCGTCGATTGTTGTCGCGCAGAAGCGGAAGACGAAATAGGGGGAGTATGGGGTTGGGGGGATAGAATCTAAACGAAAGGTACACGGAAGAGAAAATAAATCGACGTCGAGAAATAAGGCTTTTCGACGCTCGAGAGCACCCGCGACGAAGACTCGCGGTGTAAACGGGCTTGATCCGCGATTAAAAGAAAAGAAAAAAGAGTAAAAAAAGGGGGACGGT